TTTATTATATGTCAATTATCCCTCAATTGAGCAGTCTCATGCAATCCAATCTATTGTAAGCATTCCATGAGCATTATATTATTCACCTTCATGAAAAACCCTAAGGTGTAGGTACTATTATTATCTCCCTTCTCATGTTACGGATGATGTAAGTAAAGCACAAAGAGCTTAGGGCACAGAGTTGGTAAGACACAGAGCTGGGCTCAGAGTCAGGCCGTGTGGGCCCGGAATCCGCACCCTGCACTCTGCTGCCTCTGGGTGCATGCTGCTGAGGATGAGGGGGTGGGAAGCAGAGACGGGGACAGCCATTCCGAAGAGCAAGCTGGCAGAACCCCGTCACATTAGGTCTTGGAACGCCCTATGACTCAGCAATTCTGCTCCCGCAGATGGCTATAAATATAGCCAGAGACATATCTTCCGAAGATGTTCGCCTAGGAGTCTGTCAGGACCCTTGTGTGGAAAGATTTGTATGTCTGATGTGCGCTGGGTGGGAACTGGAGAGGACCACTGCGCAGCCCTGGGATGGTGCACCGGGAAAGTGCAGCATGACGCACTCTGCGGAGGCCCGTGCAGCTGTGGCTGCCCCAGCCGCTGAGCAAGGGTGGATTTCAAAAACAGTGCTGCAGTGAGCATTGTGGCGTAGCAGGTTAGGCCTCCACCTGGGATGCCTTATCCACATTGGAGTGCCAGCTCAAGTCCTGGCTGCTCTGCTTTGGATTCGGCTTCCTGCAAATGTGCCTGGGAGGCAGCAGCAGATGGGCACTCGAGTACTTGAATCCCTGCCATCCAAGCAGGAGACCCGGATAGAGTTCCTGGCTCCTGGCTTTGGCCTGGCCCAGTCCTGGCTGTTGCAGCCATTTGGGGAGTGAACCAGCAGATGGACGGTGGTCTCCCCTGCCTTCTCTGTCACTTTGCCTTTTAAACAAGTAAATCTTAAAACACACACACACACACACACACACACACCATATTGCTTACTTAACTAAGACCAGAATGGAATATATAACAAGATGCTATTACATAAACCAACAGTATGCACTAAATGACTCACATTTTGCCAGAGCACAAATTTTAAAATGAACATCAACCACATTGGAATAGTCATGCTCTTTAAATTGTTTATTCATTTGACAGGCAGAGAGACAGAGACAGCTAGAGAGCTTCCATCAGCTGGTTCACTCCCCCAGCGCCCGGGATGGTCAGGGCTGGGCCAGGCTGAGGCCGGGAGAACTCAGTCCAGGTCTCCCACGTGGGTGCCTGGAATCCAATCACTTCAGCCAGCACCATAGTAACTTCTGAAGGAAGAAAAATCAGAAATGGGCATGGAAGTAATTTTCAAAGTAAGACATACAGTAAGAAAGACGATGTGTTAAGAACGGTACTATCATCTCAAACTTCTGAATCTAAGACCCAAATCCACAAACAAAATCTGGGAAGGGACAAAGGCAGGGGGTAGGGCTTCTGGAGCTCGGGGTCGAGGCTTCGCCCCCCCAGAAGCTGGACACAGAGCGGACCTGTGGAGCAGGTGCTGGAGGCAGGGGGAGTGTCCCGGCTTCCTCCTGCCTCCACTCATTTCCTTACCAGACACAGGAGCTTAGGAAACAAAAGCCTGGCTGGCACTGCGGCTCACTAGGCTAATCCTCCACCTTGCGGCGCCGGCACACCAGGTTCTAGTCCGGTTGGGGCGCCGGATTCTGTCCCGGTTGCCCCTCTTCCAGGCCAGCTCTCTGCTGTGGCCAGGGAAGTGCAGAGGAGGATGGCCCAAGTGCTTGGGCCCTGCACCCCATGGGAGACCAGGAGAAGTACCTGGCTCCTGCCTTCGGATCGGCGCAGCGCGCCAGCCGTGGCGGCCATTGGAGGGTGAACCAACGGCAAAGGAAGACCTTTCTCTCTGTCTCTCTCTCTCACTGTCCACTCTGCCTGTCAAAAAAAAAAAAAAAAAAAAGAAACAAAAGCCTGCAGAAATCAGCTCCCCAAGATACAGGGAGAGTTTAGGAAAGGCCAAGGATCACTACACAAGATCAACACAAACACAAGGAGAGAGGGGGAGAGAGAAAGCTCCAGCACAAGGCTTCCCCTCTCATGTCTCTGTACTTCCTTTTCAATCCTCTATTAATCAGTCTTTCACCTTGCCTGTTCCTTTGTCTTTCTCTCCCACCTCTCTCCTTACTCCTCCTGTTCACGTGCCCATCACCGTCTTTACACCATTCACCCTGTCTCCCACACCCACTCCTGACCTAGGAGGGTCCCTGAGAAGCATTTAACCTTGAGAACAATAGCAGGAATGCACTTGGCCCCCCAGGTAGGACAGAACCGAGGGATCTGGGTGCCAGCCCTGCACCCCACCTGCTACACTCCCCTTTTTTTCTCTTCTGGCTCATTTCTTTCTTTATTTTTTAATATTGATTTTATTTATTTGAAAGGCAGAGTTAGACAGAGAGAGAGACAGATCTTCCATCTGCTGGTTCACTCCCTAATGGTCACAGTGGTCAGGACTGGGCCAGGCTGAAGCCAGGAGCCAGGAGCCAGGAACTTCATTTGGGTCTTGAACTGGCATCCAAATGGGATATAGATGGCAGATCCTGTGAGTATTCAGGCATAGCTCATCAGAACTACAGCTGAATTTTTTTAGCCAAGATATCTTTGTGTGTGTGTGTTTATGTGTGTGTGTGTGTTCTTCTTGTTCTTTGTATTTAGCCTAGATAATGTATGCATCCTTTTAAAATTGTGTGCTGCGGCCGGCGCACCGCGCTGATCCAATGGCAGGAGCCAGGTACTTATCCTGGTCTCCCATGGGGTGCAGGCCCCAAGCACTTGAGCCATCCTCCACTGCACTCCCGGGCCACAGCAGAGAGCTGGCCTGGAAGGGGGGCAACCGGGACAGAATCCGGCGCCCCGACCGGGACTAGAACCTGGTGTGCCGGCGCCGCAAGGCGGAGGATTAGTGTAGTGAGCCACGGCGCCAGCCGAGCACCACTTTAACACTGGCATCCCCTTTGGGTGCCCGGGTTGGAATCCTGGCTGCTCTGCCCCCAGCCCAGCTTCCGACTAAGGCGCCCAGGAAAGCAGCGGAGGACGACCCAAGTACTTGGTCCCTGCCATCCACGTAGTAGGCCTGGATAGAAATTCTGACAGTTCACTTCAGCCTGGTCCTGACCTGGCTGCTATAGCCATCTATCGGAGTGAATCAGTGGATGGAAGATCTCTCTCTCCCTCTCTCTTTGTAACTGCTTTCAAATAAATAAATCTTTTTTAAAAATCACTGATGTTGGAGCCGGCGCTGTGGTGCAGTGGGTTAATGCCCTGGCCTGAAGTGCTGGCATCCCATATGGGGGCCACTGCTCCACATCTGATCCAGCTCTCTGCTATGGCCTGGGAAAGCAGTAGAAGATGGCCCAAGTCCTTGGGCCCCTGCACCCGCATGGGAGACCTGGAAGAAACCCCTGGCTCCTGGCTTCAGATCGGCACAGCTCTGGCCGTTGAGGCCAATTGGGGATTGAACCATCGGATGGGAGACCTCTCTCTCTCTCTCTCTCTCTCTCTCTCTCTCTCTCTCTGTAACTCTGAATTTCAAATAAATCTTAAAACACACACACACTGATGTTAACTATCTGGCAGAAGGGGAAGTGGTGCGCCCTAGGAGTGACAGGGTGGCCAATTCACTGTTACAGGGACGTTAGGAAGAGGGGCAGGCTTGGAGATGCTACTCCTGTGCGTGCCCATCCCGGCAGTAGGTGGACACCGGCATCCGGAGCGCCTCGGACAGCGGGGGCCACAGCCCTGCTCCAATCCGCTGTGGCTCCTCGATCTCCCTCCAGGTGGCACTGCAGGCCCGCACTTCGGAGGCGGACTCTCCGAGCCGGGCGCCCTCGGCACTCCGGCCGTCCGGCGGGCTTCTCGCGCTCTCCACTCGGCAACTTAGGTCGTGCCCTCTCCGCTGACGTCCACTGCGGACCCAAACCCGGGGCAGCCTTCGCAGAGCGTGTCGCCCACGCGGTCAGCACGTGGGTGGTGGCTGAGGGACCTCGGGGCTAGCGACGTGGTCGGCGTGACCACTGGCCCGTCGGGTCGCCTGCGGGAACCCACCGCGGGGGACGTGCGAAGGGGGACGACCGGAGATGCGCTGTCCGGAGCCGGCACGTGTGGAAAGACGCGCCACCGGACCGGACCCGCCGGCACAGGCGTCTCCTTGTCCCCAGGGCAACCCTCGCGTGGGAAGCGGACGCTTTAAGGCTCCATCTCCTGCCCTCCCCCGCCCGGGACGTGCTGGGACACCCGGGACCTGACATTTGGCGGCTCCCAACGTGGGAGCTAAAAATAGCCGCTCCGGGTTACTTGGGGGCGTTGCTCTTAACCAACCCCGCGCCGGGGCTCACGCACTTCGTCTTCTGCCTCTGGAGTATCCCCAGGCAGGTACACCTGGCCGTTCCCCGTCTAGACCCCGCCGGCCCGCCCACCGAGCTAGACTCCTAGATAAATTTCCTCGGCCTGGGATTTTTGGCTGGTGGGCGGGTCCTAACACGTGGGTGGGCGGGGTCTTTTGTTCCGAGGGCCGGGTTCTCAAATCTTCCCAGCCAGCGGCTGGCGGGAACCTGAGGGGCGCGTCCTGCCCTCACGCTGAGGGGCGCGGCCTCGCCCGCCAGCCCGACTAATGCCCGACTCTACCTCCCGGGCTTAGCGAGGGGGCGTGGCCTCCCGGGGTGTGTGGGCTGCTGGCCAATGGGCGTCGTGAAGGGCGTGGCCCGTGGGAGGAGGGTGCGGGGGTGAAGTGGCGGGGGCTCCTCGCGTCTTTTCCCGCAGCCGGGCTCTGCCAGATCCCTGGGAGCCCCGCAGGTCTCTGGCTCTTTGGCGTCTGGCTGGGGGGCTCCCCAAGCCTCGCCCTCCACATACCGCTCCGGGACCCCCGTGGTCCCCGAGCCTTGCGCCCGTCAGGCCGGGACCACAGACCGCCAGTCGCCTCTTTCATCACCGCAGCCCCTGTGGCCTCCAGCTCTTCTAAGATGCCGTCGGGTTTCCAACAGATCGGCTCCGAAGTAGGGACCATCATGCTGGGGCGGGGCGGGGGCACCGGTTTCGCTTGTCCTGGGCTGGGGTCGCGACTGGGGTCAGCTAGGGGGCGGTCCCTGCGCAGGCGCAGGGAGTGGAGGTGGGGGGCTGGCTATTTATACCCGGTCTGTGCATCCCGTGACTGTCAGATTCCAGTCCCGCCAAGAGGCGGAGTAGGTCCGGAGGACCTTCTGGGGGCTCTGGCCACAGCTGGATTCCGCGAGTTCAGGGTTCACCCGCTCCCCCCAGCACGGGGCGCGCTGCGCCCGCATCGGGGACGCCCTGCCCTGCATCTGACTGAGCAGAGCAGATCCAGGCGGGTCTTGCCCCCAAGGAGCTGTCCGGCGGTCCCTGCTCGCGGGCGGTGTTTCGAGGACTGAGGCTCTCCGTGGGCCTCCACCCCCATCCTTGGCCGCCGTCCAGCACGTTGAACTTTCCCTTGGCCCTACGGTTGGTGGAGGGGCAGGGGAGTGTCAGCCCCCCTTCCCCCGGCTCAGGTTTCCGCTTGGAGACAGTCTGTGCCGCCAGCGAGCAGCCACCACCACCGCCACCGCCCCTCACACCACCATCCTGCCCTCCTCCCCGGGGAGGGCTCTCCGGGCAAAACCGGGGCATGGCCCCCCGCCCTTGATGGGCGCTCAGAGCTGGAGGGAAGGCCAGGCAGAGACAAGAGGGGGCTGCCCCCAGAGCGACGACCTGGACTTGCCCTTCCTGGGCTGGTCGGTCGGGTCCTCCTGGAGTTGGCCTTGAGAGCCCCCAGAGGGCAGGGAGGGGGACAGTGGCCCCTGACAATAAAGTGCTTATCAATTTATAAAACCAGCGACTCAGGACTACCGATAACACTGGCCTTTGATTTTCACAACACTTTCACCAACAGGTGGGCAAGGCAGGTGACATCCCCCTCCCCCCCCAACAACAGAAGAGGAAGCCTAGGTCCAGAATGGGGAAGTGACTCTCCCAAGGTCACACAAACCTGAGCTCTCAAGGCCAAGCCTGTCCCAAGGTCACGGGGGGAATTCTGAGGCTTAGGTCCTCCGACATTTCTCTGCCTTGTGGACTCAAACCTTCAGCCTCTCCTCCACGCCCCCAGTTGCCTTTGAGTTCTGTGTGCCGCTGTTTATATTGAGATCTTTGTGCAATTCCTAATATGGCCCAGTTTCCCTCACCCAGCTTGCTGGATGGGACCCAGCGTTGTCCGGCTGCAGCTGGGCGCCGGGCGCGGGAGGAAGGGAGGCAAGCGGGTTGCCCTGTGACGGCCGTGCCCTCTGCCTCTGCCTGTGCAGGATGGGGAACCCCCCCAGCAGCGGGTCACCGGAACCCTGGTCCTCGCCGTGTTCTCAGCCGTGCTTGGGTCCCTGCAGTTTGGCTACAACATTGGGGTCATCAATGCCCCGCAGAAGGTGAGTCCCTGTGGATGGCCAGGTGGAGAGGCCCAGGCGGGGGTGGGGACTGACTAAAAGGTGGCAGGAAGGGCCAGGTCTGCAGGAGTCACTCCTGTGCTGTCCCCCTAGGTGATCGAACAGAGCTACAATGAGACGTGGCTCGGGAGGCAGGGGCCCGAGGGACCCGGCTCCATCCCGCCCGGCACCCTCACCACACTCTGGGCCCTCTCTGTGGCCATCTTCTCCGTGGGCGGCATGATTTCCTCCTTCCTCATCGGCATCATCTCCCAGTGGCTGGGAAGGTATGGGGCGGGAGGGCAGGGGCAGGGGAACAGGAACGGGTCTCCTGCACGGGCGACCTGTAGCTCACAGACCCCACTCTGCCTGCCAGGAAGAGGGCGATGCTGGCCAACAACGTCCTGGCCGTGCTGGGGGGCACCCTCATGGGCCTGGCCAACGCCGCTGCCTCCTATGAGATGCTCATCCTTGGACGGTTCCTCATTGGCGCCTACTCAGGTACCCACGGGCACCACAGCCCAGCCAAGCACCTGCTCCCCCTCACCACGCCTGGGCTTCTGCTGGAGCGAGCGGCTGCCCTCAGCCTTCTCTTCCCTCCGTGCAGGGCTGACATCAGGGCTTGTGCCCATGTACGTGGGGGAGATTGCCCCCACTCACCTGCGAGGTGCCTTGGGGACGCTCAACCAGCTGGCCATCGTCATTGGCATTCTGATCGCCCAGGTGAGTGGACGGTGGCATCGGAGGGGGCTTCCTGGGTAAGGTAGGGGAGCTGGCTGACCTGCCTCCCTTCCTGCAGGTGCTGGGCTTGGAATCCATGCTGGGCACCGCCACCCTGTGGCCGCTGCTCCTGGGCATCACGGTGCTCCCTGCCCTCCTGCAGCTGATCCTGCTGCCCTTCTGCCCCGAGAGCCCCCGCTATCTCTACATCATCCGGAACCTGGAGGGGCCGGCCAGAAAGAGTGAGCTCTGGCCCTTGCCTTCGCCCCGCCTTGCTAGCAAGTGCCTGGCCTGTTCTCAGCGCCCCTCAAGCACGGCCCTCCCCCTCCCCCACCCCAGGTCTGAAGCGCCTGACAGGCTGGGCCGACGTGTCTGGAGCCCTGGCAGAGCTGAAAGATGAGAAGCGGAAGCTGGAGCGCGAGCGGCCACTGTCCCTGCCCCAACTCCTGGGCAGCCGCACCCACCGGCAGCCCCTCATCATTGCCGTGGTGCTGCAGCTGAGCCAGCAGCTCTCAGGCATCAATGCTGTATGTAGGGGGCAGCCCCCCAGCAGGCAGGAGTCAGGGCCGGGCCAGCTTGGTGTGGTTAGAGGGGACAGCGGGACGCCCCTGCCATCACTTTGCTTCTCTCTCACCTCTAGGTTTTCTATTATTCGACCAGCATCTTCGAGACAGCAGGGGTAGGGCAGCCCGCCTATGCCACCATAGGAGCTGGAGTGGTCAACACAGTGTTCACCCTGGTCTCGGTAACTGGCCTCACACGCCTGGCTGTCCCCCGAGTCCTACTCTGGGATGTCCTGACCTGCCCACTTCCTGTGTCCAAAGGCCGCCTACTGAGCCTGACTCTCCCCACAGGTGTTCTTGGTGGAGCGGGCTGGGCGCCGGACACTCCACCTCCTGGGTCTGGCGGGCATGTGTGGCTGCGCCATCTTGATGACCGTGGCTCTGCTTCTGCTGGTGAGGCCTGGGGCCTGGGAGGAGGTTGGCAGCCCAACCCCTGGGAACCACCCAAGAGGCGCGAGGCCAGCCGGTGCCATTCCTCCACATTTCCACCTTCGATTCTGGGGCCCGGCTGGGGCAGAACCAAGGGCCAGCCCCATGGGTTCTTGTCCCAAGCCCGCTGGCCTGGGGGATCCTGGCTGTACTGGAGCCTGTCTAGGAAGCGGCTGTAGCACAACTCCATGGCAGCCAGGATTGAGAACCCGTTAAGTCTCAGGAATGATAATTCTGAACACCCAGCTTCAGAGGCTGGGGAATCAAAGGCGATGAGAACCGCAGGACATCAAAGTTCCCTCCAGCTGGGGCCCCTGGGGTAGCCCCAACAGCAGCGCTCAGAGCTAGGGCCGCAGCCACCCAGACCCAAGCAGCTGCGAGGCAGATTTCATTTCTCCTCTGGGTCGAGGGCAAGAGAACACCCAGCCAAGCCTGAACTGGGTTCCCTGCCCGGCCCCCCAGGAGCGGGTTCCAGCCATGAGCTACGTTTCCATCGTGGCCATCTTCGGCTTTGTGGCGTTCTTTGAGATCGGCCCTGGCCCCATCCCCTGGTTCATCGTGGCCGAGCTCTTCAGCCAGGGGCCCCGCCCTGCAGCCATGGCTGTGGCTGGGTTCTCCAACTGGACGTGCAACTTCATCATCGGCATGGGATTCCAGTACGTTGCGGTAGGTGCCCCTCCCGCCCCCGTCTCCCGCGGTGTCGGCTGCAGCAGGCAGCACACAGCCAGCGACTTCCCCGGCCCCAGCCGCTTGTCTTTGGATCGATCTGGTGAACACCTGCTCCACCAGAATCAAAGGAGAGGGGACGGGAGGAGATGGGGCAGAGGGCGGCAGCGCAGGTGTCTAGGAAACAAACAAGGGGGTATAACTCGGACCAGAGGAACATTATAAACTTCCTTTGACTACTGCCAATGCCTGGGGGATCTACTGAGTGCAGTGACCCAGGAGGGCAAGGAGGGGAAAACTGAAGCTGAGCAGGGTTCAGAGAATCCTTTTTCCACGGAAATTCTCCTTTGGGATCCACAGAGGAGCCGCCTGCTTTCTGCAGCGTCCTCAGCTCCCTGGCTTGCCTGAGCCCACCCCTGCCCGCCCCTCCCCTACTCTGTCAACTCCTCTTTCTCCACCTGTCCCAGGATGCAATGGGGCCCTACGTCTTCCTCCTCTTTGCCGTCCTCCTGCTGGGCTTCTTCATCTTCACCTTCTTAAGAGTACCTGAAACCCGAGGCCGGACCTTCGACCAGATCTCAGCCGCCTTCCGCCGGACGCCGTCTCTCTTAGAGCAGGAGGTGAAGCCCAGCACGGAACTTGAGTACTTGGGGCCAGATGAGAATGACTGAGCCAGGCAGGGGTGGGGGAGCCCGCCCTCCCCGCCCACCGGGACCCTCCTTTCCTCCGCAGCACTTTAACCCCCTCCTCCCGGTTCCTGCCAGGGCGGACAGACTTCCCCTGCAGCCTGGTGGACCTGGGAGGCAGGAGGGAAGGGGCAGTCTGAGCGCCCCTCATTCCCCTCGCGTGACTCTTGGGTTATTTATGTGTGTGGTTAGGCTGTGGCCAGCAGCGTGGCCCACTCTCCCCTCCTGTCTTCCTCCCTAGCCCAGCCCCTTCCTGCCCACCCCCTACCCCTCCCCGACCCTGCCTCTGGCTAGAGAAGAGGGATTGGAGGGAGTGGGACAAACTGAGGCGGAGAGCAGCTGGGAGAGCAGAAGTCACGGTCCCCACCGGCCGCCAGCCGGCACTTTCACTGGATTCTTGCCACATGGACTCCGGGTGAAGGGAGCTCTGTCTCAGCCCTCCAGGGCAAAGGATGCACCCTTGCCTCTCACTGCAGGCTCAGCCTCGCGGGGCGAGAGGGAATGCGAAAGCACATGCCCATATGTGGCGAGAGGAAGGGGCCCTACCCCGGCTGCTCGCCAAGGCTGCCAAGTGGGGGCTCCGGCGCTGTCCTCTGCTCCCCTCCTGGAAGGGTGCTGCACCCACAGGCTCTTGACCAACTAGGGAAAGGGGTTGGAAAGGCTGCCCGTGAACACTGGGCTAGGAGGAGCCGTCAGATATTTTTGTATATATTTGAAGAAGGGGTAGGGAGGAGCAGCCAAGGTCTGCTGTACTAAATGTGTCTATAGAGCTGCTTCTATAAAGTGACTGTATGAAGACAAGTGTCCTGTCGTGGAGGCGCTCCCTGCCTCCCCCACCCCCCACCCTGCCTCAGCATCCTCGGGGTGCCGCAGAGCGGGGCCCTGCTCTGTACATGCCCCAGCCTGCCGGACGCTCACTCTGCAGGTGAGGAGACAGGAGGTCCTGTGATGCCGGCACTTGTCCCCAGCAGGGACCCTGACCAGGCCCTGCCCCCCTGCCCCCACCTCCTCCCCGCGCACAGGCCCCAGCCAGGATGCAGAGGCCAGGACACCAGGAGAGCCTGTTTTTGTTTTTACTGGAGGCTCAGGTGGCACATGACAGTTCATAGAATGGCTTCCGAGGTAGGGGGTCGAGGGAAACAAAAAATAAACTGGGGTGGGAAAGAAAAACAACCCGGAGAAGGTAAGAGCTGGCTGGTTCCTTCTCAGCCCGATTTAGGGGAGGGAGTCGACGCCTCTGAAAATAAGGATGGATCCCTTCCTTCAACCCTTGGTAGGGGAGAGGGGAAGAACGCAAAAGGCTGTAGCTTTGGCTCTCCTGAGTCTCAGGGAAAAGGGAAAAGCCGATGTTTTCATGTCATGAATTATGGGAAATGGGGGAGGGGTGCTGGGTAGGGTACAAGTCAGTTGGAAAAACTGGCAGATACCTGAGAGAGAGAGAGAGAGAGAAATCATGAATGGCAGCCACTTATCATCTCGCCCCAGTCCCCCGCCTTGGCCACCTTCCCTGAGTGGAGCAGCCACTCACCAGATGGTGGCTGGGTGTCCTGAGTTGGAATCACTCCAGCATGGTGGGGGGGGGATCCCCACTGTTGATGGGGGCTGAGGTCTAGAGAGAACAGCAGTGGCCAGTTGAGACCGTCTTGTTCTTTAGAGCCCCCAACTCCAACCTTCTCATTCCTCCCCCCAGCCCCTTCCCCTAAATCACATCCACAAGCTGGTGGTGGCCCCAGGGAGGTCTGCAGGGGGTGACAGGAGCCTGAGGAGAGCACCAGGCAGGGTGGGCCCAGCAGGCTCCCTACACAGGGTGAGAGCAGAGTGGGGGAGGGGAGGCACCAAGGGATAGAGAAGGAGGGGAAGGAGAGGAAGAAGGGGACAGGGGTTGGTCCCAGCCTTTTTGCATCCCACCCCCTGGATCAGGTCTCCCAGTCCTCACCTCTGGGGCTGAGGGCTGCCGGGGGCCAGGGGGCTGCTGCCGTCGCCGCTGGAAGTAGGGGCGGTTTCGTGGGCGCTGGGGCTCAGGCCGGGAGCCGTCAGTGGGGCCTTGGCTGGGCTTGGTCTCACCATCCCCACCTTCTGTGGTAGGCTGCTGGGGTGGCCTCGGGCGGAAGGGCCTAGGAGAGAAACAGGGAGCCTGAGATGCCAGGGACCCCAGGGCAGACCACCCCCCTTCTCCCCCCACCAGAACTGCTAGGCTTCCTCTTCCCACGTCCAGCCCCGTGGGCAACTGCCTCTCTGGGGAACACCTCAGCCACAAAGAGATTTAACTCTTCCCTCCCCATCCCCCTGCCCCTTGCCTGTGGGCTGCAGGCTAGGTAGAGAAGACAGAGGCCCAGACAGGAACTCTTACCTGCGATATCTTGGCCGGAATCTGGGTGGGGGCACCCGCTCGTCTCCCTGTTGTTGGTCTCCCTCCAACGGGGCTGTGTCTTTGGGCTCCACCCCATTAGTGCCCTGAGAGCAGAAAGGCATGGGTGGGCTGTGGGAGCCAGAGCCAGGTTCTCTCTCCACTGCCCTCCCAAGCCACCCTCACCAACTCCCACTCCTTTTCCAGAATGTGGCAACTGCCCGCACCCCCGCGCTCCTGCCTCCCCTCACCTCTATCGGCTGCTGCTGGTTGGGGGGCCGCGGGCCTCGCACAAACCGCCGTCGGTAGAAGAAGGGTGGTGGGCGCCGCCGCCTGGGCCGCTGCCCGGAGTCTTCGGCCCGCTCTCCTTCACTGCCGGGCTCTGTCCCGCCGGAGGGCACCTCTGCCACCATGGGTGGCGGGGCAGCTGGGCGAGGCCGGGGGATGAAGCGGCGGAACCTGCGTCGATTGGGGGCGTAGCGGCTGCCCTTCACCGGCACCCCCCCGGGCCCAGTTACATTAGCAGCTTCTGCACCCTGGGAAGGCAGAGAGGGGACAGTCAGGGCTCTGCCAGCAGCAGAGGCACCGCACCCGCGGCTCCAGCTTCCTCAGCCCCCCAGCTTCTGCTTCTCCCTGCTCTCCCTGGGGAGGAGCACCTTGTGCCTCTGAAGCACCTGCCACGTCCCCGGGTGGTCGGCCTGGGGCTAGGGGAGGACAAAGAGCCGGCGGCAAGTGGCCACCTTTTACTCCTCGAGGAACAGGGCCCCTTGCGGAGAGCAGACACAGAAGCGCTCAGTGGTCCAGAGAGAAGCAGCCTGGACGCTGCTGCCTAGTGACAGGGACACGTCCCTCGCAGCAGCCCCAGGGTTAAGGAAGACGACATCTGGGTGCCGGGACGCAGTCCCATTCCCGCAGTCAGAGGCCAGAGGCAGAGCTGGCCCCAGGAGAGCCAGAGCCTGGGCTGACCCCCAGCTCACCCTGCCCCAAGCCTGGCCTGGGCTGACCCCCAGCTCACCCTGCCCCAAGCCTGGCCAACTCTACCCCCCAGCAGCCCCCAAACCTTCTCTCCTTCCACGACATCGAACTCCACAGTCTCCCCATCTCCAACGCTGCGCAGAAACTTCCTGGGGTTGTTTCTTTTAATAGCTGTCTGATGGGGGAAAGGCCACGAGAAAGGTGAGGGTGACGGGACCACGCCTCTCACCCCCGCTGCTCCGCCAGCCCACTTGTTTCTCTTCCGCATTTTACTTGGGGGGCTGCGGCTAGAAGTCTGAGCAAGAAGGTGGTCGTCAAAGTGGGGGGGGGGAGAGTCCTACACTAGGGGCCTCAAAGCCAGAGCAGTGAAGGTGAAGTTACCATGGTCCTGGGACAGGGACCACTCCCGCCCCGCCTCTTCCCCCTCAAGGGACTTCAACAGGGAGGGGAGCAGAGGGAGCGGAGACAGCGTGGATTGCGGAGTGGGTGAAAGGCGCTGTGCTTCTTACCTCAGTCCCACTGAGTGCGCTTGGTTCTCAAACGGCAGCGTGCATCAGAATCACCTGCAGAGCTCCTTAGGACAGGCTGCGGGGCCCAGCCCCGGAGCGGCTGATTCAGGGGGCCTGGGCCGGGCGCCAGGTGATGCTGCTGCCGCTGCCGGCGCAGGGAGCACACTTTGAGAACCACTGCACCCAGGGGTCGCTAGCCTGAGTCCTTCATGTGCTCCCAGGTCCCAGTAGGTGGTGAGTGTGCCAAGCCCAGAGGGCAAGCACAACCCCGCACAAGTGGGGCTAATGACCGTTGATACAGGCACCTGAGGCAGAGGGGAGGGGAGCTAGTTCCTGGTGGCCAGGCTGTGGTGAGCTCAGAGCCAGAGAAACGTGCTAGCGTGTGCTGCCCCGAACCGCAGCCGGGCCTTCAGAGAGAGCAGGTGCCGCTCAGAAAGGCGAGCTAGCTCTTACCTGGTGAACAAAGACATCCTCCTTGGTGTCATTCCTGCAGAACAGGATGGGCGGTTAAGGGGTGGCTTTGGCTCAGCCCCACGGGGGCTCCCTAGCGGCCCGCTCCTCCCAGCATTCCACTGGGTCCCCAGAGCTGGCATAGAGAAGTACCCGGAAAGCCCAGCAATAGCGTGAACTTGAGGAGAGGCAAAGGCACCTTGAAGGAGCCGGGACAGCTCCTTTTCCCTGGGCCACCTTAGAACCTGCTAGTGCTGGGTCTAACTGTCCCTGGCCAACACCCCTGTGTGTGTGTGGGGGGGGGGAATTCCGCTGTCTCCTTCCTTCCACACTCCAGGAGGCAGAGAGTGGGGACAGGACCAGAGGTGCAGGACAAGTCAGAAGGGGACAGAGCGTCAGGAGCTTGCTCTCCGCAGCCACAGAACCTCACTCTTCCCCTCAGCCTGGAGGTGCAGCTCAGGGTCGGGCTCCTCCACACAGAAGAGCCAGTGGGGAAGACACTGGGAAAGTCACCCCTCGCTTATTCATCACCCTGCTTTACCCTAGAGCCGCTGTGGGTGCAGGAGGGGCTCCAGCCCAGGGGCGGCCATTCCACAGTTAGAGACCCCTCCCCAGAACAAATGTCCTCGCCCTAAAGCACTTGGATCTACACAAAGGTCAGCCTGCTATCCCAGGAGGACTGGGCCAGGCAGGGAGCCCGGGCTCCGCTCAGAATCCACCACCACAGCCTCTCCCCGTCCTGGGAGGGGTGGGGCCTCGCCTTCCTACCCCTACCCTCCTCCGGGCCTCAGGCAGTCCCAGCAGGTGGGGGATTCAAATGAGCCACAGCCTTTAAAGGAGAGGAGTGGAGTGTGGCCCTAGACCGGAAGTCAGTGAGGAGGAGTCCTGGATGTGTAGCCGGGAGGCACAGAGAGCCCTGAACATTCTGCCCCGGCACACTACAAGTCATGAGGCAATTCCAGAAGACAGAAAAGCTGGGAGGGCAGAGCCAGGTTTGCCAAGTTCCCGGATCATTAATCATCCGCTGCCCTCCAAGACGTGGAGGCGGCTTCCTCTCGCCACTGAGCGCTAACCGCATCTGTGCTGCGGCTCAACCAGCGGCAGCTGGACACCGCGACCGCGTGCCTTGGCAGGGACAGGGAGGAGGCTGGGAGGGTGTCCTGTCCCACAGGCCACTTCGGAAGGCACCCATGCCACCCCCTCCCTGGGTTCCTTGGATACCTGTTGATGAATCCGTAACCATTCCGGACGTTGAACCATTTGACAGTGCCCAGGACCTGAATTGCTGCCAGGCAGAGATGCAGTGGGGACAGTGAGATGGGGGAAGAGACGGGGCCGGTCTCAACTTTGAGACACTCCAAAGTCTAGCCTTCCTTATTATTATTGCCTGTCAAGCTAACTCGCAAGCCAACCGGGTTTCACGGTGTCTGTCATGCCGGTTCCACCAAATGGACTCACACCAGGGGCCTCAGACCCCTTGCAACTCCGAGGCATGTTCTCTCCACACGCTAC